TTCCTGTGTGTGTGTGTCTAAGTGTGGATGCTTCTGAGTGCATATCTGTGTGTGTCTGTTTATGTGTGCATGTCTGTATGTGTGCATGTCTGTATGTGTGCATGTCTGTATGTATGTGTGTGTGCGCATGTCTCTGTGTGTGTTTTTCTCATGCTTTCTCTTTCTCAATTCTCCTCTGGTTTTTCCAGGGTTTTTTGTTTGTTGTTTGTTTTCCTGTTGTTGTTGTACTGTTTTTGTTTGTTTGTTTGGCTGATTTTGACTATTTGTTTTCTAAACAGAGAGAAAAAGAAAACATTGATTTGGATGGGTGAAGAGGTGAGGAGGATCTGGGAAAAGATAAGAGAGAGGAAAAGGTGATCAGAATATATTGTGTGAAAAAATATTTTCAATAGAAAAAAAAACAGACGTTAAAAAGGCTCAATAAAAGGCAAGGGTTTCCGTGGCAGTCCCTGGGGTCCAGAGGACAGTGCAGGGGTACAGTGGGGTCCAGAGGACAGTGCAGGGGTACAGTGGCAGTTTCTGGTATCCAGAGGGACAATGCAGGGGTGCAGTGGGAGTCTCTGGGGTCCAGAGGACAGTGCAGGGGTGCCGTGGAGTCTCTGGGTCCAGAGGACAGTGCGGGGTACCGTGTGAGTCCCTGGTATCCAGAGGACAGTGCAGGGGTACCGTGTGAGTCTCTGGTATCCAGAGGACAGTGTAGGGGTGCAGTGGAGTCCCTGGGGTCCAGAGGAGAGTGCAGGGGTGCAGTGGAGTCCCTGGGGTCCAGAGGACAGTGCAGGGGTGAAGTGGGGTCCAGAGGACAGTGCAAGAATGCTGTGGGAGTCTCTGGGGTCCAGAGAACAATGCAGGGGTGCAATGGAGTCTCTGAAATCCAGAGAACAGTGCAGGGGTGCCGTGGAGTCGCTGGGGTCCAGAGGACAGTGCAAGGGTGCCGTGGAGTCTCTGGGACCCCAGAAGACAGTGCTGCCAGGCTGAGACTTGGGATAAGTGCACAGAGGGAGGGGAGGGATGCACAGGGTTTTGGGAAAAGCTCTAATGAAGCAACTTGAAGTTGCTTCACTATAAACTTCCTGGAAGAAACTAATTCACATGGAAGGCAGAAGGCCCTGTTCTCTGTACTCTGTAAACAGTGTGTGTGTGTGTGTGTGTGTGTGTGTGTGTGTGTATGAGGGAATTTATTTTCATCATAAAACTATAGTGAAAATTGAATGAGTTAATGCACAATAGAAAATTAGTTAGAAACATTTAAATATTATAGTAATTAACAAATTAATTAATGGAAAGCAAATAAGACTGATTCTATATACATTTTCTGTACACGTGTGTATATTCATGTGTACAGGTGAGCAGGTGCATCCGCCTATGTGTGAACACACACATGGAGCCAAAGGACAATTTCAGGCAGCATTCCTCAGGCTATGCCCACCATTTGCTGAGACAGGGTCTCTCACTAGCCTGGAGTCTGCTGGATAAGCTAGACTGGCTGCCCGTGATCCCAAGGATTTGCCTGAATTAATGTCCCTGGTGGCAGCATTACAAGAATGTCCAGCAATGTCTAGTCTCTTAGATGTGTTCTCACAACCGAACTCGTGATTCTGTGCATACAAGGCAAATACTTTACCAAATGAGCCCTGTCCCTGGAGCTCTGTGTTTTTTTATGTTTATAATTGCATATCTTTGCTAACATCCTCATTCACTAGTGAGTAAACTACCCTGTGATGGCATCAGGAAAATATCAAACTCCCAGAAAAGTCCACAATGTTTCTTAAAAAGTAAAGATAGATTAAGTGAAAAAAAAGTTGTTGGTAAAAATTTGATAAGGTTTTTCTGATTTGCAAAGGAATTTTAATGTTTTTGCTTTACACACAGAAATAAAAGTCCTGTGAGAGGTAAGAAATAATATTGGATATAGACTATTGCATCATTTTCCAGTCAAAATAATTTGAATCTCTTATTAATATTAATTAATTTAAACATATTTTAACATTTCTAAGTAGCAGAGCCTACAGATGAACTAATCAAAGTCTCAATTAACATATATTAAACTTCGATATTACTTCCAGCAAACTCTAGAATTATTTCTATTACACTAACATATCGCCATGGCTGTTCTCTGAGGAAACCACCACATCCTTGTGCCTGACCTTTGTAGGTTAAGGAGTCACCTCAATGGCCTGATCTTGCTCTAAGGACAATAGGAAATCCTCATCAGAAAGTGACAGTGTGGTAGGCTTGCATCACACAGGACCGTCAGCTTGGCTGTCAAAGACCTGTGTTCTGCGTAGTAACCATTCTCAATAAAGGTACACAACACGCAACTACCTGCTACATTCTACACTCTCTGCACCAGAGACTAAACTGCAGTCACATGTGACAGGATGCAGATTTTATATACTGACTTTTACACAGGTTTACTTCAGGTTCAAAAATCTTTCAGGGATTTGCCTTTTTTTTTCTTAAAAAAAAAATAAAAATAAAGGCAAAGCCCCGAAAGATCTTATTTATTTTTTTGAAAATCAGAACACCATCAATGATGTGATTATCTCCGTGTTGCTGAAGGATCAATTTAGATTTTAAAAGTTTCAGTTTATTCTAATTGTGTTAGCTGTTGAGTTTCAACAGTCAAGACAGAAGTGCAACCCCGAGGAGAAGTGGAGACCTACATTACAGCTCACTGGGTGCCCTCGCTCTGTGGGAAAAGGGACCTGGAGCAGCCATGTCCCACACTGATGAGAAATCCTCGCCTGTCTTCATGGGTGGGCAACCCACAGAGACTACAGCTCCACTCTGAACAGCAATAGAGAGGTCTCTGTTTTTAATGTATGATACTCCAAAGGCAAAAGCACAAGGAATAATTCCGGCTTGTGAGTAAGATCAGCACACTGACAAGAGAATATGGATTACAATGTTGTTCAGCCACAGTGGTTATGCAAACGGCCCTCAAACTACAGGTAACTGACATGATGTAAAAAAAAATTATCAGATCACATGCGAAATGTGCCTATGGACAAAGGCACACGAGGCCAATAATTATGTAAAATGGATTATAGACAGAAGGCTATCACACTTTCCTCCCTCTAGACCAGCACTGTCCAATAAGAAAGACAACAGCACCAAGTGCAAATTGTGCACACAATTTAAAATGTGCTCTTATTAACAATAAAAAAGAATAGGAAGGAACAGGTAAAATCAATTTTATCAATATATGTTTTACCTCAATACATTCAAAGTTCTGTCACTTAGCACGAATTCAATAATGAGGTCATCACTGGTTCATTTCACAAGCTTTGTGTATCTTTAGATAGTGGTAAGCATTGTATTCATTCAGAGCTTGTAATTCAATCTCTAATTTCAAGTGCTGAGAAGTAACGCATTGCCCAGGGTCTTTACCACTGAAGGGCTAGAAGAGACCAGCGCTTGCGTTAATGCTGGGACTCAGCAAATATCACACCAATGTCCAGCAGAAAGCATGAATGCCCGTTTGCTATTAGCTTCTTATCGAGTCATAAGCTTTGAACTGTAACCTTTCTTTTCATGTTGAAATGAAATTATAATCTTTCTTACATAATAAAGGGATTACTTAATAGAACTTTCTCAAATAAAATGAGTAATAATCTGCCATGTTTCTTATTGACAAAATCCAAAACCTCTTATTTAACAATTCTTATGAGCTAACACTGTACTGTTATTGAAGTTATCAGTAAGTGTCGACCATAATTGGCACTGGCATCCATCAGCAAGCTGTTGTGCGCTTGTCAAAGGATGTTCTCCAGTTAATTTGTGAAGTTTATTTCCTACACGTCATAAACGCAAATGTGTCCTTTCACTAGAGAGTCAACCTCTGGTCACTGAAGAAATTCTTCTGCTTATGTAATGTTCATTTGTACACAGTCCTATAAGAAACTTAGCTGGAAAATCAATGTCCTAATCTTTATGTGTGCATGCTCAAGTGTGTAGGTGCAGGCGGAGGTCAGAGGTCATTGTCAGGTGTGGCCCCCAGTCACACTCCACCTTGGGTTTTCAGTCAGGAGACCTGGAGCTCTGTGATTGGCTAAGCTGGCTGGCAGGCAGGTCTGCCCCACCACTGCAGTTACAGAGGTGTGCTTCTGCACCTGGCTTTCACAAGCGTGCTAGGGATTTGAACTCAGGTGCTCACTCCTGTGCAGTAGGCACTCCACCCACTGAGCCCCATAATAACCTATTTATCTACCAAAGCTCAACATCTCAAACTCAAGCAAATGAAGTCCTATTAAAGTCACCTGACCTCTGTTCATTTGATTAATAATCAGAGTTTCTAAGGGTGAAGGTTCACAATTTACTAGGGTCATGCATGTTGCTGCGGCCTAGTAAAACCTGTCAACAGAGCCGGGCGGTGGTGGAGCACGACTTTAATCCCAGCACTCGGGAGGCAGAGGCAGGCGGATCTCTGGGAGTTCGAGGCCAGCCTGGTCTACAAGAGCTAGTTCCGGGACAGGCATCAAAGCTACAGAGAAACCCTGTCTCGAAAAACCAAAAAAAAAACAAACAAAAAAAACAAAAACAAAAACCTGTCTACATATGGATCCCTAGACTAGAGCTTGAATGTCAGGGAGAGTGAGTAGGGAAATCATACTCAAATGTTGTGGATCATAAATAGCGTTAGAAAGAAAATGGGAAACGACTTGAAAATAGTGAACTCTTTTTGCTAATTATGTTTTTGTTGTTGTTTTGTTTGTTTTTCATTTAGAGTCTGGTAGTATCCATTAATTCTGAGAAACAATGTTCCTATTTTGGCGTCTAGAAAAGAAAGCGGTTTAAGAAGAAGTCTATTGGAAAATTAATTAGCAGAAGTTATTGTGGTAGGCATCTGCAGGCTGGTGAGGGTATAGAAATCATCACTTCATTGTGAGAAGCGCTCCACTTACCCAACTTCCTGCTTCTGTCTTTCCTCTGCTGGGAAAATCGTTACGAATTTAAAGGGAGAGAAACGGAAACAGGTGAAGCCAAAGGTATAAGGATACAGTCCCTTCCGGGAAAGAGGATTTTGTGGCGGACCATTTCTCCCATGATGCATCCCACAGACCATATGTCCACTAGAACAGGAGAGAGGGCGTAAAGACAGAGGAGGAAAGCAAGGTTAACTGAGGTCACTGGCTCGGGGGACTGGAAGATAAGACTCTCACATTCCACCTAAGGTGGCTGAATGCGAGTTAAAATCCACATTGTGTTATCATGCAGTGAGCGCTCGAATTCATGTGTAAAACAAAGGACTGTATGGATGCCCAAACTGCATCTTTGTTGACAGGAGTTGGTGGTGTCCTGGACAGGAAAAGAACACTCACTAAACCAACAGTATCTCCAGGTAGGCGTCAACTAAAGGTCTTGGAGACGGTTTTGATAGCATTTGCTAGATTCATCCATGTAGGGTGACTGTGTTCATTTTCTGTTTTGTGCAGTTATGTGCAGTGGGCAGCAAGAGAATAAATACCCTTTGTCCCAAGTAAAAGTTCATTCAACCAAATCTGAGAGACTAGGAAATGGTTGGCGAGTTTTGTGGTGAGGGGCTGCAATTCCCGTGTTACAGGGCTGATTTTTCATCAGAAATTATTCTTTGAGATAAGCATCAGCTCTAACTTCTCTCTGAAATAGTTTGAAAAAACTGATAAATTAGCATCTGCACAAAGGGGATGTGGAAAAGTGAAAAATGTAGAAAAGGTGTTAGGACTCAAGTGCACGTGTTTGTGTCCTGATCGTCCTATTTGTTAACCAACACTCTCCTACGGACCTTAGCTCTCTCGCTGTTTCTCATGTATCAATGCCAAGGGGATTCTGAAACAGAAACATTGGGCAGAGTTGCTTTAAGGGGTGGAAGGAGGGGTGAGGTGCACAGGAGGGGCATGCCTGAAGCAGGACAAGCTGTTTTGGCTTCTGCATGATAACCACCCTCAGCTGAGACAGAACACGGCACAAGGGTATGAGGCGCACCTCCGTGCACAGAAATGAAGGCTTTTCATTGTTCCGTAGACCTCTCAAATAAAGAAAGGAACAAGACTGATCACCTTCTGTCTGTGAGACAAAGATCTAAACACACAGACCAGGCAAACTCAGACTTCCAGGCTCTGTCCGTCCTCACCCCTCCTAGTTTTTGTGAGGCACCGTCATCATACTTAAGGGTATTTGCTGTATGCACACTGTGAGTAATGATCAAATCAGGTAGTCAGCATATCCCAAACCACACACATTTATCAATGCCTTGGCTTGGGGTCATTCCAACTCTTCCCCTTAAAATATACAATACATTATTGGTAACTCTGGTCCTCAGTTCTGGACTTCTCTCTAATTGAACCTCCCTGGGTTTCACTCAGGAGAAAGAGGAGGAGGGCTCCATTAACATAAGTCAGAAGGTGACACAGCTCTGGCAGTGGCTGTCCAAGTGAACCTGGCCTGCTTCAGGGCTGACAAAGAGAGCAATGTAACAAGGTCCACTAGACTGGAAGTATGCAAATGATTGCTGTTAACTTCAAAGGCTCACAAATACCCTCTGCGGGAATTATACTCAAATAGTAGTTGTTTTGATGAAATGTGTGAAAATAGGTCCCTAGGGATTAAACATATAGAACATAAAAACCCGCATTCAGGGCACATATACAAATCTAACTTCTCAGAATATTCGATATGGCTTTCAACATGACTCTTTATAATAGGTATTCCAGACACAATGATAGATCACAAGGCTTTCTAAGACGTACTTTATAACCCTCTATTTTAATCAATCAAAATTCAATTTGAATTTCAAATATCTTTCTTTCAACATGTTCATGTATATTCGACCGACTTTCTTGTCAAAGAAATAATGTAAAATTTAATGTTTTTTCCTTTATATGGCCTTTTGAATTTATTTAAGATTTACTAGATAGTACTACACTAAATATTACTTACAGAGCATTTGACATATGAACAAGAAGGTTATAGTTTGAATGATGCTAACTTGACTTGATCCAGGATTCTGTAATCTCTTTGTGCATCTTTTCTGAGGACCAGAGCTATTAACCTGAGATTTTACACAAAAGCCAAGAGTCGGGCAGTTAGCAGTGATTCTCCCTCTCTGAGGCCTGTGTGCCAATCAGCAGCCGCTTGACTGCTCAATTGAGCGAGCCCTATTTGCAAGTCTTTTCTGCTATCACATTTTAGAGCTCCTGCGGCCAAGCCTGCCTCTCAGAAGCTCCCCTTCACATCCTTCGCGCCCCACCCCCTTCCCCCACTGGTATCTAAGAGAACTCTGAATGCGAAGAGCAGGCAAGCTCCGTTTCAAAAGAAGTCATCTATGTTACAACAAGCATGCCTCTCGGTTATCTAAAGCACGAAGCCTGCTTCGCTCTTCCGGAAACATCCCTACCGTTCTCCTTGTAGCCCATTCCCAGGATGACCTCAGGGGCTCTGTAATATCGCGTCACCACATACGGCGTCATCATGAAGCTTGTGCCCGCTGTCCTGGCCAGTCCGAAGTCAAGGATCTTCAGTGTGCAATCAGACTTGACTACTATGTTACTGGGTTTTAAGTCCTGAAGACAGAAACGGGGACGAAAATGAAAGTGAGTATCTCCAGGGACCGCAGTTCTTCCCCTAAAGCTACACAGGGCAGCCTTGCAACAGCCAGCCTGCCTGCGGACCCCCTGTGAAGCACAGGACCACTGTGACACGTCACAGGTAGTTTTAGATTTCTAAAAAAAAAAAAAAAGTCCTAATAAAATATTTTAAGTTCAGAAGAAGACTTTACCGTCATTTTTATTATTTAGGCTCACATTGGTGAAAATAACATGTCATTTCTTGTCATCTCTTAGGTTTCTTTTTAGAACAACATAAACCTTTAAGGGTAAATGTCATTTCTAGGCCTGACAGGGGAATACATGGGGGCACCTGTATGATTATAAAATCTTTGTATTTCCAGAAAGGAATTGTATTAGTTCAGCTACTCATCCAACTTCCATGGTCAGTGGGCTAGGAAATACAAGACTCTTCAGAAGTTGACTTTCAGTGACCAAAAATATAAACTCAAATTCTCCCAGAGCATACATAGAAGTCCCTTCTATACATCAGTCAGTTGGGTGCTAATTCTCCCCGAGAAGATAATTCAAAGCTGTTTTTTTCTCTTCTGCAGTAGTCAGTACATTGCAGTTCCAGAGCAAGTGATCTTACCCTGTGGATAATTCCAGCAGAGTGGAGGTGCTTGATGCCGCACAACATCTGGTACAGCAAATAGGACATCCGCTCATGGTCTAATTCCATCTGAATCACCTGACACAAGTTGGCATCCATCAGTTCCATCACTAAGTAACTAGAAGGCAAATCCACAGCCTTAGTTCCAGAAGAGAGGTCTAGCATGACCTTCCAACACTGTTGGAATCCTGTTCTTCATCTATGTTTTATTGAACTTCCAAGCTCTGGGATTGCTTGCGAGAAGATGGGAAAATTCCAAGTATACCATGATTGACAGCTGCAGCGACAACCCACGGGCAGAGAGCAGCGTCTCTAATTAGTATGTGGTTCATGGCCATCTGTTCTCTCACCTTTATTGATCATACTTTCCCTACATTTCCCCAACGCTCTCCTAAGTACTATGATTACAAACGAGGGAAGGTATCAGGACAGGGGTTTCTAAAGTGTGCTGCAGCTGTGGAAGAAAAACTGTGCCCAGAATAACTGCCCCTCAGCCAGTTTGTCACTGCCTTTCTAGACAGGGTCATTTTACACAAAACTAAAGGCCCTGCAAAGACAGGTGGAAAAGAACAAAAAAAATTGCAGCATATTCTTTGTTAATGTTTCTCAAAAGGAACTGACCCATCCTGGAAACTTACAGAAACAATGAGCAAATAATTAATATGGCTTTCTTACTTTCCTGAGATTCCAAGAGTGTGGAACAACAAACCATATGGGCCAGAAGGAGGCAGGCGTGTCCTTCAGGAGGTCACACCACCCTGGAATCTGCACTGAACACTGCTGCCTCCTTCCCTGGGTCCTGTCCCTTAGGTCTCTTTGATCTTTGCAAGGAATTTCATCCTTTTTGTTTCTATTGCTATTATTTTTGCCATTCCCCTGGAGTTATCTGAGTGAGGGTGGGGCTCAACCTTCCTTCATTACTTCCGTTGTTTTATTACTTACACGTCTTGGAACTCCTCCAGCGTTTTCTGGGGTGTGAAAACATTTAATAAGCTAATAATCTGGAAGACAGAGCATGAAAGAGACAAAGAAAAGAAATAAGACAGAAAGTTAATTATTTTTAAAGCATGAGTGTATTTATTCCAGGTGTAAGACAGTCAATAAAGAAAGCCACGATGGAAACAGAAAGGATGGGAAATTCTCCTGGATGGCCTCATAGGACAGAAGAGTGGAATCAGAGAGAACACAAAACCTGTCTGAAGGCTACTAATGAAATTATAACATCTATTCAGAGCCAGGACCAAGCCAGACAAGACCTATGCATTGTATTCCTTCTTGTGGCTCCGTGATCATACACAAGCTGCGAGAGGGTGACTCCACAAAGGGAAAGTCACCAAGAAGAGAAAGACGAGGAAATCCTCACCAAAACCTTGAAGGGACCATTTTTCCTCCAAATGAAAAAGTCCCAGCGTGTTTAAATACTGTCTCAACGAGTATCCCTGTGCTACGGGTGGGGAGGTGAACTGTGCACGACATTAACGATAAATTGGCAAAAAAACAAGTTGAAGAGTTAGCAAAATTCAGTCCTAACCATTTACTCTCTTATGACAGTGATTTTGGGAATTATGTGATAAAGTAAATCAATCTAAAACACCACATTCATCTCAATTCCACATAAATTATATGTATAAATAACCCCATATGTCTTCCCATTTAAATATTATACATCGACGTGTCAGTGGAAATGAAAATATAAACAAATGAGGATATTCTACTTAAAATGCAGATATGACTAGAAACCTACTTTACAAAAATCTTAGCCTGATAGTTAAAACAACTTCAGGGCACAAACAAATTCAATGGCTTTTCATAAAGTTCGTAAGTGGCACTTGAACATATAAAGTCGTCTAAATAACACAATTCTAAATAACTGGAAAATGTGCCATATTGTGGAATTTTTCATTGTTGTTGTTTGCATAAACTATTAAGAAAACGTCACAGAACATTCAACGCTTTTGTTAAACTTTTAAGATGCCTTTAATTCTGTATACTTAATAACAGCTCAGATGGAGCAAAGTATATATACAATAGTGGTCATAGGCTCATCATTTACTTGTCTCATATCATGGAAGTCTCGTAAAGTAACATTTTATCACAGAGGTTTTCTTTTTTAGCCAAATTGGACTATACACAGGGAGCACAGTTGTACACACTGGCACACACTTGCATGCATGCACCCTTTAAGGACTGGATAATACCAACTCCTATCATCAGGTGGTAAACTAGTCTACAAAGAGATATTATAAACCACCTTCAAAGCCCGTGTCTCCTGATACATTTCTTTGTCTGTGTTCTTATTTCCCATTTTCCTATAGGCTCATTTCATAGCCTTCTTAGATATCTCTTTTGTATTTCACCTCAGTTCTTACCTCATAGATTTCAATTCTTCCTACCAACCCATTCAAAGATTGATTTATTCTATTTTGTTCTATTTTGTTTTTTTTTTTCAAGACAGGGTTCCTCTGTAGCTTTGAAGCCTGTCCTGGAACTATCTCTTGTAGACCAGGCTGGCCTCGAACTCACAGAGATCCTCCTGCCTTTGCCTCCCGAGTGCTGGGATTAGAGGTGTGTCCCACCACTGCCCAGCTCTATTTATTTTATTTTATGTATATGAGTACTATGCTTAAATGTATGTCTGCACTGTGGGGATGTCTGATGACTTCAGAAGCTAAAAAGGCTTCAGATTCCTTGGAACCAGAGTTAAAGATAGCTGTGAGTGACCATGAGGATACAGGGAATTAAACCCAGCTCCTTTGGAAAAGCATTCCATGTTCTTAACCACGGAGTCACATCTCCAGCCTCCTAAAGTCCCAGCTAGAAGCTCATTTGTTCCTGATGCAGTGCTGACCCAACTCGGCAAATGCCCTACAAACAGCTCAACATCAGAATGAGGTCATCACAGACACCTCCACTTCCTTGTAGCTTTTTCCAGTGGGAACCTGACTCGGTTGTTTTATTATCAAGTCTTGTGAGGCACAGACATGAGTCAGCACTTGTCACAACACTGCAATCTCAACAATCATCACTTCCTGGAATGGAGTTATCTTCTAAATGGATTTTCCTATTATTAAAGGATGAACGGGGTTGCTTCGTTGTGTTTCTTCGCTTTCCCCAGGATTAACAGAACTCCGTATTCACATAGCCTTTCCTTGTGCTTTGAGTATCAATGAAGGACTGCAGCTGGTCAGAGGGAAGCTCTCTCTTTGTTAAAAAAGTATTTCTATAAGCTTGTAAGCCTACATGCACAGACACGTACATAAAAAGCAGGTAGCAGGACTGATATAAGTTGTTATAGCAATTTGGAAATGTTTATTTTCCTTAAGGAGCAGTTGCTGTGAATTCCCTTTGTTGCAGTCAACAGCAGGGCAAATACTCAACTGCCTTCTGCTACTACCAGACCGTGCTGAAGGCAGACTAACTTCGTGGCAAGGCTATTAGTCACTACAGTGGGAGTTCAAGGACATGGTGCCAGTGTTAGCATCGCTCTGGAGGTAGCTTGTGAGGGAGAGAAAGGTGATCATCTCTCAAAGCAGGAAGCTGGACAGTGTGTGGGCTCACACGGACATGTCACTCTCACGTGACATGAGAAATCTCAGAGGTAGGATGAGCACTCCCTAGTCCTTTTAAAGGCAAGCCTCTGAAGACCCTATGCCATCTGAAGGTTTCCTCTTCTGGAAGGATGAACCGCCTTTCATATCACAGCACTGGAGACCGATCTTTTAACATGTGAGCATTTAGAAAAGACAGTTGAAATACATCCAAACCACACCATGGGATATGCTTTTTATTCAAGTTGGCCAAGCAATTTGGAATTTCTCCATAAGATATTGCTCTCCAGGGTTTCTGTGGGAGCTCCTTCAGCCAACAGCCTTTAAGATACCAGCCCACTTGGGCGTGGTCTCTTATACTATAAATGCAGCTGTAAGGCGTGCCCTCACCCTCTTGCTTCTGGTTCTTGCTTCTGGCTGATAGATTCAGTTCCTGTTCCCCATTCATGCAGAGGACTGTGATCTAGGACTTTATTATACATAATTCTGAATTAATGTGGGATTATTTTGTAACTTCCATCATCACAGGGTCTGCAAGTATGATTAAGTAGATACAAATTCAGGTGTGGAAATCTTTCTACACCATTGCTTCCCTGCTTGCATCCATATGTTGTTCTCTGCTCAGGGGTTTGTTTCATCCTCCTTCCTAACACAGTACTCTGCCACCCTGGTCATGTGACCAGTGTGCCACACAGCGAGAGACTTCATGGCTTTTATACAGTGTCTCTTCTTAAGAGTCAGTTTCCCATAACCTCTAGATTCCTTCTAGATGTCTCATGCTCTTTGCATGGCCATGTCAGTGATGAGTCATGAGCCCTTCCTGCTCTGCCTATCCCATCACATCCCACAGGGATTAGCCTTTTGAAATGCTTCTGCCTCTTTTACGGAGCCTCCCCTTTCATAGAAAACCCAGGCTCCTCTGGGAGGAAATTGCTCTGGTTCTCCTCCTTTGTAATCCTCGACAGGCTTAACTATCTAGAAGTCTGTCAAGCACATTAAATGTAATTAATCCAAAAGAGTGAATTCAGGTGTCATTGGCCACAAACAACTCAACAGTATACAAATGATCTGATTTAAAGGTCATATGAGGGGCGCACCAGAGGAAGGGATAGAGAAAGAGGAAGCGGGAGAGAAGAGATGGGGGGAGAGAGAGAGACAGAGAGACAGAGAGGGGAGAGACACACAGGGAGAGATAGAGAGAGACAGAGAGAGAGAGACAGAGAGAGAGAGAGACAGAGAGACAGAGAGAGAGAGAGAGCGTCAGTCTGTCATGGGAGTAGAGTGATAGAGTGAGAAAGTCACTATCATTGTATTATAAATTTCTTTCCACCAAACACACATTTGCTGCTTACTGCTCTGGTAGTTGATCATTTGCTGTATGATCTCACTTACAAAACACAGTGATAATTTCATATATTCTATGTATATTTACATTTCAGGAATTAGCACGAACATGTGATTGCTGCTATTTTTCTTCTTAAAAATATATAATTTATTACATATTTGTGCATAAGAAAATGTGCCTCATAAACTTGTTATAAGTTATGAATCGTCACCCTCAGGTCAAATAATTTTCTTTGATTTCTCCTTACAAAGAAGAGACGGGGCTCAAGGATGAAGGTCCTCCCCTGAGATTTAGGAAGCGTGGCCTCTGAAGCAATAGTTGATGCCACCTGGATGCACTATGCAAAGGCTCTGTGTGATCCCTGCTCTGAAGAGCTTTCCATGTGTGTGCACCTGCCGCTTCCCCATCCCAAAGCAAGATGCTCACACAGCAGGGACCCTCAGCAGCTGAAGCTCCTGCCTGACTCCAGCTGAAGCACACAGCAGACAAAACAGCGAATGAGAATCTTCTGCCTTTTATTATGAACTTAGGATTTGTCCGGTAAGATTTCCCTGTGAGTTGTGTCTGTTTAGGAGCTTTAGCTTGATTGAAAAGCATGAGGCTCCTGAGTTAATTTTGAGCATGACGACCAAATAAGGTTAATTTCATAACAGGGAAAGAATATCAGTCACATTCATCTCCTCCATGCCATATGGCTTTCAGATCATTTTTTTTTAAGCAGGAAGCTACCACGAGGACAATTAAACCAAATGCAGCATCTGGGCAAAATAAACAACCTTAAGAGACAGAGACGACAAAGCAAGCTTCCCTCCTGGAGCGGCATTTGTGTTCTTCTCGTCTCACAACCTCCTGCTGCCAGGGGTTCAAAACTAACATGGAAACTCACGTTTTTATGGTTCACACACTTCATGAGGACCAGCTCCCGGTAAGCTCTCTTGGCATGAGTTTGGTTCTGGAAGGGTCGGCTGAGCTTCTTAATGGCCACATTTCTGTCGAGGACAGCATCGTATGCAGCACTGTCAAGATTCAAAAGCAGTCCAGACTTCAGCTCACAGCACAGACAAGGAAGATGGCACTCTGGAATCCCACCTAATGCTTTTAGTTTACATGCCAATAAAATCATAAGGAAAGGTTGAGTGACCAGAAGTAGATAGGGAGAGAAGTGGGGAGCAGATGGGACAGGGAAGGGGAAGAAGAAGGGATTCAGAATGCAGCTTCAAGTGACATCCGTGAACTGCAGATCAAGAGACAAAAGCCAACTACTCAAATTTTCCTCAGGGCACATGAGAATAGTAAGTCATTCCATCTAATGGAGCTTGAATTTCTCGTCTGTCAATATACTATGTAGACAGACTCTGTGATAGACTGGGGGTTCTTTTAGGTGTACATCTGTTCTTCCCCTAGTTACAAGACCCAGTTTTTACAATCTGATGATAAATTCATGAAAGCATAGGTTGATCAATCATCAGAGCACATTCGTGCACTAGAACAAGGCTCAAAGTAAGCCACACCATCAGAAGATGCTCTTCCAGCAAACAGCTGACGCTCAGTACCAAGAGAGGAGTAAATGCTACTAACCTGGGAATCCTTCAGTCGGCCAACAGTGATAAATTAGCATGCTTTTAAAAAGCAACCTCAACAGGACTGTCCCTCAAATAGTCAAAGTGTGCTTCTAGAGGTCAAAGAAAGTGAGAGGGACCTTCTTGCTTCTGTATCTCATGGTATACACATAAAATGTTGGTGTTGCATACCAGAAACATTGGGGTTTCCTGGTTTTGCCCAGTTGGCTGGATGAATAAGCAAACCAGAATCTCCAAATTTAATCTGTTAAATTTATAGATTTGTTGACCACTTAGGGCTCAATTGAACCAAAACCCAAAGAAGAGTGTGGCTTTCTCTATCAATGTGAAGAATACTGTTAGGTAATGAGAGGCTTGCAGGGTGACTTGGATGTAGCTCTCTATTTTGCCTAGTACATTCCTCCACCTAATCTTTAATTTTCTCTACAATATCTCCATCAGATGCTTGGGTTTTTTTTTTTCTGCTTATGTTACTTCAAATATCACAGCTCCCTAAGAGCAGGCCAGATCATTCTGTTAGTGGGCAGCTTTGAGAGTAGAAATACCATGATTCTAACAAAGATAGTCGTCTCTCCATGGTTACCAATGACTTATGTTGGCCCTGCCTTCAAGGATAACCCATATAAAGTATTCCCCTTTGTTATGATAAACCATTGAGTCTGAAATCCTTGAAAGGACCAAGTGAATCTCGGAAAGTCAGCTTTCATTACTTCCCCCAAAGTCTGTTCTTCCGTCACAAATATCACCGATGTCCTCATGCCATTTGTCACAGCACAGCTTCAAGTCCCATCTCCATCTGCGCTGCTTCCTCTGAATATACTCCAGACTATCAATACTCTCAGAACATGTGGTCCCAGACTAAAGAAAGCAATGCTACCCTGAAGCATCAGTGAAATCTAGGGTAGGGCTTCCATACATTCACATGCTCACTCTGCGCTCCTACCACACGGCTGCTGAAGCTATCTACCCCCGTGTCTCTGAGGATGATATCTAGGAACCCACTTTGCACCTATGTTGCTTTAAAGCAGAAAGAAAAAGATGCAGGCTGCTGAGATGGCTTCTCAGACAAAGGAAGGAAATTGCTGCCAAGCCTGATGACACTGGTTTGAATCCTGGGGCCTGCATGGTGGAAAGAGAAAACCAACGCGAGCCAGTTGTCCTCCAGCCTCTACGTGCTTGTCCCATCCCACACAGAGTTAGCTAATGGAACCATTTTAAAGGTGCTTTTTAAACCGTCATGTTACTTATGTTAGTATTTGAACCCCGCTGTAGTACTTGGTGCTTTTATCCCAGCAATGAGAGCAGAGGGAGAGGAAGGTGGCAGGCGGGCTGACTCTAACAAACAGTCAGAGGGAAATGAGGAACTCGTAAGTACAAGACTCAGGTTTCCTTCTCAGGAGAAGATAAGTGATAGCAGCTACAGGAACTCATCGCTCACTTTACAGAAAGTCCTGCCGTCGGTAGGCCAAGCCCTGAGGTCCCAGGGAATAACTGATCAAACGCCAACCCCGGGTTTCTCGCCAGGCGGACCCCTGGCCAGTTTCTCCCAACTCTGGGTTGCACTCTCACTACCTCTGCCAGCTCTTCCTAGATGCGGTTTTTGCTAAGAACCTAAGCCCTGCTCCTCACCAGTCTGTACTCACGACTGTGCACACTCTTTAGTGTCAGTTTCTGCACACTCACACCAGAGGCCAAACAGCCTGACTGGCTTGTGTGAAGGAGTGAAGGAGTTAGCTGTAGTGTCCTGGCTAGTGTGAGCACCCAGCAAATGATACCTGGTGCTACTCTCAAAAATCAGTGTTCTTGTGGGGCTTATTACACAACACAGGGTAAACTATGAATTGTTATCTCACGTGTGATAACGAGATGTAAGAACACCAATTAGCAACTTCTAGTCTTTCCGTTATTTATAAATTAATTTAATCACCATGCTGCTTTGATGATGATTCTGAAGTTCATCTCATGACACAGGCAACTAAGAAGAAATATTACTAAAAATCTAGATACGCTGTAACCACACAGATGTCTGACTTTGAGCATTAATATACTGGTTTATATTTCTAATGAAACAATGCTCACCTCATGGTCTCTTAAAGGCACACATACAGGCTGTCTCTTCTAACCAAGGTCAAGTTTAGTTGGTGCCCTGTCCAACCTCTTTTCCCCACCAGAATAAGAGTCTTGCCCGTCGATAGTTGTGTGAAATACCGTGAGTTGTCTCATTGGATATTATTTGACCCTTTTGTATAACATTCTTGTGTGAAAGAAACCTCAAAGTTAAATTTCCAGTCCTGACCCTTTTGTAGCTAGCAGTCTGGATTCCAACGGGTCCTATAGAGGTCCCGAAAGTCTTGTCAGGTAGAGCCAGGGTAGTAACCATCTTCTGCCGCTCTTTGGTTGGCAGAAGATGTATATGCTTGTTTCTCTGAGGCAGAGATTTGTGCTATTCTCCACATTTTAGGCTGGCAGGAGGTAGCAGTGACCTTCAGGGCCCAGTCCCTTATCCCTGACATGGTGCAGCCATGACAGCAACACCTTCAGTATAGGCTCCCAGCTCAAAGTTCTCTAATTTCAGAGATGTGTATGTATGTTCTGGCAACCTGATGGTTCTGGGGTTTCCCAGAGTTGGGAGCGCCCTAGGGATTCAGCTCTCCGGTGCCCAGGAAGCCTTTCAGAGGCCCAGACAGGAGTCTGCTTCTCGGGATTTCCAGTATTTGAACAAGCACACAGTTTATTGTGTTGAACTACGTCTGCCAAAAATATTTCTCTCTCCTTCCTTGTACCCAGGCAGGCACTATAAAAAACCCCATGATCTTCAGCTCCTTTGTGGTTACTGGCTGGGGTGTAACAAATACACCTGCAGACGGGCATTGTTAATGCTGCACAGTTAAACTGCTGTCTGCAGGTTTCCTTTCCTATTAGGTCATTTTTAATTCATGATCATGCAATCTTCCTCTCCCCCCACTTGTCTATGTAGATAAAAATAAAAGCATATCTTTAAGGAGATTTCCCAACTACTTTCTAGAATACTTGCTGAAGAACTATAAACAACATGGACATGAGATACTGATACAGGTTTTAAGGAGTGAAGAGTGGAGAGGCACTGGCTTTCCAATGACAACGTTTACAGCGTTCTCTCCAATCAGAGCTTTACCTTGATGAAACGACAATCCTTCCAAATTAGGATGTTCATTTGAACTCACAGGATGTATACACATGTACACACACACCCACACCACATACAGCACATGTATAGAGAAGAAGGAAGAAGAAAAGGGAAAGGAAAGGGGAAGAGATCTTTATGTCAAATAAAAAAAATAATCAAAATTGAGAAATTATTAATTTATCCAATTTTTTCCTTAGTCCCTTGGGTATCTTTAACTGAACACCTGCATTCCATGTTTCAATATTTTAATTTCATATGTTATTTTGAAAATCCAGAATTTCATGGACACAAAAAAAATCATTAAAAAAAAAACTGACCATTTCAGAAAAACACCAGTGAAATGATAGTGATGTGGGAAGTCCTGTTTTTGTGTTGCTCTTACTGGCTAATGAAAAGAGGTGTTTTGGCCAATGGCTTAGCAGAGTAAAGCCAGATTGGAAATCTGAGCAGAGAAATAGAGAAAGTAGGTGGAGTCAAGGAGATGCCATGTAGCTGCTGAAGGAGAGAGAAGCCACTGGAACCTTACCGGTAGGTCACAGCCTCATGGTGATACACAGATTAGTAGCAATAGGTTAATTTAAGATATAAGAGCTAGCTAGGAATATGCCTAATTCATTTGCCAAGCATTGTTATAATTAATATAGTTTCTGTGTGATTATTCAGGTCTGGGCAGCCAGGAAATGAACAAGTAGTCTACAGTTACAGAATATTACATGCAGAAAGATCACTAAATTTATTGTTAAAACTAATAAGAATATACAAACAATAATTATGCTTGAATTATTTTATAAATGTCTAAATTATCAATATAAAATTTATTCATGCTTTTATGTTTTAAGAATTTTTATTTGCAGTGAATTTCAACAGCAGTAATTTTGTTACACATCAACACACCCATTCATTGTCAAAATTCCCCACATGAAAAAGAATGACATCAGCCCTCCATTCATGGCCACTGTATTCTGGCTGGAGTGTTTTGTTCATTATCCACAAATGGATGAGAACCTGCACTTCTCTCAGACCTGAGACTCTTTTCTCACCTTTACCCATTTCTTAACAACAGAATCCAAAGGGTGAGTAGACTTAAGTACTTTGTATTAGCATGGATGCACATTAGTGCTTAGAAGCTGTCAGAACCCACTAAAGAGGGTACATCAAAGGGACCATCTTCCCTTGAGCAAGTGGTTCAGTTGTAAAATGGTGACTCTCAAAATCAGCTTGCAGTGAAGGTACGCTGCGTCTAAAATAACCAAAGCTGGGAAGGCACTCT